CTTCTACATAGGTTAATGTCATCGAGCAGGGCTCTGACATACATCCTCAGATAGGTCATACATCCTTTGTAGATTCTCTTGATCTCTTCTACATAAGTTAATATCATCGAGCAATACTGAGTAAACAACATTTTCTCTATAAAAATTCTATGAAAGCAAGTGGTTGATAAAATCATCACTCATATGAAAACCTTAGCCTTCTAAAAAAACCTTAAAAAATATGGGGGCCAACATATCAAAGCATATTTCAAAGATGCATGAACAACTTAGTTTTCTCTAGGAGACAAGTTTATCGAGCTCATGCAATAATCTCAACTTCATAGTCAATATCATTGGAGTTACATAGATTCCATATCAGATTAAAGTACTTATATGGTTAGCTACTATCCTTCTAACCTCTATCGCCAGATAACGGTCCTTTTGACCTCCGTTGCACGTCGACTACGGTTGGCTACGGTCCTTCCGACCCCCGTCACTAAACAACGGTCCTTCTGACCTCTGTCACTCGCCGACTACGATCCTTCCGACCTTTGTAGCCCGCCGACTACGATCCTTCCGACCTCTGTCGCCAATCGACTACAATTGGCTACAGTCCTTCCGACTTCCGTTGCTAGACAATGGTCCTTCTGACCTCCGTTGCCACCGACTAGGGTCCTTCCGACCAAACGAACATGTCAACAATGATTTTTTGTATTCCCACCATATAATGTACTCCATATAATGTACACCAAGCCAAGTCCTCCCCCCAAGGAAGGGTATAACCGACTGCAAATAATAGTTGATTCATTCAAACTGGATCAGGCCTAGTGGTTTTTCCCCTTTTCAAGGTTTTCAACATAAAATATTGGTTTCTCTTATGAATGTTACACCCTATCTTTTTATTTAATTACGCGTTGGATCTTCGTACAAAACTAATACGTTAAACTTTATATTTCTCTACCGCCACGAATACTCAAGGATGCAACATGATGAAATTTTTTACAATCAAATTTACTAAGATTTGAAAGTTATAAGATATATAATATGTGATATTTTCAAAAGAGAAAAAATTATGATGCTTGCAATGTTTTTTTTAATTAATTCTCTGTAATAATTTTACAATTATTTTTATAAATAATTGTAATTTTCAAATAGAGCCTTACAGTTAAATATATATTTTTTAATAATATGTGTTATTACAGTAATGTCTAAATGCTAAGACTAAATTTGGTGTGTATCTATTTTACTTGTAAGGCCTTAATCCATGGGAATGAATGTAGGGGGTTGATTTTGTAATATTGAAATATGAAAGTTGCAAAATATCTTTATAGGAAAGTAAGGAGATCGCATGGCAATTGCGGCAATTGATCAGATTAATTTTCGAGTCTGATTCATGTTTGATACGGCATCACAAAATTAGCTTGATCGGGCACGAATCTCGAGGCGAAAGCTAGTTGGAAACTTCAAAAATTAATTCCGAGAGCACCCCAACTCCGATTTCAGCAAGCTTATAGTCGAACTGAGCGTCTCGGAAATACGAACTCAACGACACCAAGATCAACCCAATCCGAGCCCAAATGGGTCCAAATAATGGATCCAAAGTGCTGTTGGAAGGTTCAAACCGTAATTTGAGTTACCAAACGGACTCCGATTTTGACGAGCTTATACTCGAATCGAAGGGCTCGATGAGACGAATCCAACGAGCCCAAGATCACAGAATTCCGACATCACTAAGGCCTTCAAATGTCCAACGAACGATACATGATCGTAGGATTCAATATCGGCCATCCATTGGACCACTCCCTATTCGCCCCTGATCTCACACCTATTTACAGGCCATGCCACTCTAGAAAATCTATAAATAGAGCCCTCATTTCTCACAAGAG